GGGGTTGCCTGCCTAGGAAAGAGGCAAACAGATAAAGAAGTAAATAGGCATAAACCATCAGTTTAGATGAACATGAGGACACAGGTCAAGCCCAGGGGCACAAACATCTTTTGAGGAATTGGCACTGAGGGCAGGATATGCCACATTGTGCAGGTGGGCAGCTGGAGGAGGCCAGGGAGTTAGCCAGCCTGGATTTGAATATAGTCTCAATCAGCTACTAACTGTGTGACTGTAGGCAAGTTGCCTACTCTCTCTCAGCGTGTTTCCCATCTGTAGAGTGGGGTAAATATTACATACCTCACAGGGTGGTAATGAGAATTAAACGTACAAAAGTATGCAGAGTGATTGGCATGTATAATACATGGCAATTTTCTTTCCCTTATGTTCCCAAGCCACCTTAGTCCCAGCTTCCTTGCCTCTGCACTGTCTCCTAGGAACTTTGGGGGATACCCTTGTTTTCTTCATCATTCATTGTCAATCAATAAACGAGGTCTTTACTGAACACTGACTTTGTACCAGGTCTGCTTTGAGTGCCGGGGACAAAGGGAGACCAAATCTAACGGTGGAGAAAAGACACACTAATCAGAGTGTCAGTCCCTCACACGTGCATAGTCCTTAACAGTTCACAAATACAGTTTTAAAACAACTTTGTGAGGGGACTGGGATGAGACAAGGGTTATCATTTATAATTTACAAACAGGGAAACTGAGGTTTAGCAGTGGGGCATTAGTCGGGGCTCTATCCCTCATGCCCCCTTGTCTCGCTCTCAGTTGGAACAGTAACAGAAAACACTAGCACATTTCTAATCCAGGGAGAGCAAACCAGAGGCTGTGCAGGAATGCAGTAGAGAGAGAGAATGGCGGGAGGGGGGCGGGAGCTTCCAGAAGTTAGTGGGGATGGGAGCCTTTAGGGCCAGTACTGAGCAAAACTCTTCATCTAACTTTTCACTCTTCAGGACCCAGCTTAGAAAGGGTCTCTTCATTCTCCTCTGTGCTTCCCTCTGCCATTGCACGTGTCCCCCTGTATGGAGAAGCCCATTTGACAGGGCACACCCAAGCAGGGACCATGTCATTCTCCTGAGCCTCTACACCAGCTGGAATAGGTGCTTGGTGAGTACTGGTTGAATGAATAGATGAATGAAAGAGGTGGGAGTGAGCGTGGAGGGTGTGGGTGAGGGGATGTGGACAGTGGGGGTCATAAGAACTCAGCTCAGTGAGCATGGCAAGTCCTGTGCTGGGCGTTGGGGACACTGAGGTGAATCCGACACAGTTCCTACCCTTGAGGAAATCCTAGTCTGGTGTGGGAGAGGCATAGTAACAATAGTACAGTCATACAAGTTGGAATGGTGAGAAGCCAGGAGGTTGTCAGGGCACAAAGGAGGTTCCTAAATGAGCCTGGGGGCCAGAAAAGCCTTCTTGGAGAAGCTGATTCCTAGGAAGACCTCAGCTAGATAAAGACACGTGACTGTGAGTGTGTGTGAGCACATGCATGTCAGCACGCCACACGGGGAAAAGTATGAGCACAGATAATGGGGCAAAAACCAGCCTTGGTTTATGCTAGAATGACCATAGCAGTTTGTTATCATTAGAGCAGAAAGCTCAAAGTGGTGAGAGATGAGGCAGGAGGTGGCCAAACATGGAGAGCTCATATGTCATGCCAAGAACATGTCTCCACTGTCATCTCAAAGGTACCTGAGGTATGATGAGAACTCTGATTCAAGTATCCAGCTCATGGGCCCAGCCAGCTCTTTTGCTAGCAGAACAACTCCAGATGCACCCCCACCTAATTACTGTCAGCCTCCTGGAAGGTTCTTCATTAGTAGGCCCAGATGGTAACCTTTTCCCCAGGTTCATTAGTAAGTATTCTCAGGATCTGAGAATCCAGTGAAATCACAAAGATAACAACCGATTAATCAGACTAGCCCCTGTCCTTTCCTCCCTCTAATTGGCTTCAGAACAATGGGGTTCCTGCTGTCTTTAATAGGCTCCGATTCTTAACTGAATCTGATATGATTCCCTTCACCCCAAAATGATCATGTTTACCCATCCAGTCCAAAGGCAGCTGTCACAGACCCACAGACCCACAGACTGTATGCGCACTTCCTGCTTCTGAATTTGACTTCAGAATTCTATTCAGAAACTTGCAACCTGCTAAACTCAGCTCTCATCCTGGCACTGCCCCAGAACATTTCTCCTTCACTTTTTTGTTCACATCTCTTCTCCGTCCTCCTCTGATACCTCTTCGTCTCCATCACGGGTCAATCTTCAACTCACACCCCTCTGGTCACTGGTGATTTTGGCAAGGGATTCACTGTCTTCCTTTCCACCCAGGGTTGTTTTCATTCTTAGTAACTTTGGGTTTCATGTGGACAATCCACCCAACACCCTGGCCTCTTAATTTCTTGAACATCTCATTTCAGCGACTTTTTCTTCCATTTTGTTTCCGTTATCCCCCTGTCCTTATAACCTGAGGTATTTTGACTTGTATTTGTGTCACTGGAACTGAGAGACGTCTAATTAATGCAATAACCAGCCTCACTGGCTTAATGCCCATGACCCTGGATGGTTTGGCCTCTGTCTACTTCTCCAGCTTCATCTTCCTGGCTCATACCATGTTCCACAAACATCAACACTTTCTTATTTGGTGCCTTTGCTCAGGCTATCACTCTCTAGCTCCCACTTCTAATTATCTTTATTACTCACCTGTGGAATCACTGATTCCAGAGAGCCTTCCCTTTCTCTTCCCACCCAACCTCCACCACTCAGAACATACAATGTACCTCTCCCCTATAATACCATGGCACCTTACCAAATTGTTTCAATCAGATCCCAACAGGAAAATGGGACCTATTCTTAATATTTAATCCAAAGGAAATTGATTATATAGGTGATAGAACTAAGAGGCCAAATATAATAGTGAGGAAACCCAGAGATTATCAACAGAAAAAAACCAAAAACAAAAAAACAAGTCCTGGCCAGGTAGCTCAGTTGGTTGGAGTGTTGTCCTGATGCGCCAAGGTTACAGGTTCGATCCCCAATCAGGGCACATACAAGAGTCAACCACTGAGTGGGTGAAGAAGTGGCACAACAAGTTGATGTTTCTCTCTGTCTCTGTCTCTCTCAAATTAATTAATTAATTAATTAAAACACAATAAAAACTATTACTGGGGCCAAAGGAAGCTAGAACCATGGGAGCAGGAGTCAGAGAAGAGGTCAGGAAGATGACAACCTCTACTAGAGAAGCTGGCTAAGGGGTTGGGGGTTAGGGAGGGATATGCAGGTTTCTCCCTTTTCCCCATCTCCAGTCACCCATCAGTGTCTCTCCTTGGCTAACCCAGTCACGGGCCACTGTCACAGGAGCCTGGGAAACACAGCCTGCAAAGGTGAACACCCCAGAGGGGGTTGCAGGAGAGAGAGCAGGTGAAGGGTGAAGAATGATAGCAAACAGGCTAAGGACTGGCACAGTCATCTACTCAAAGGTTATTGAAATGATCTCTCTATTATATTTCCCTGATCAATAAGGATTTTGAGGGCAGGGAACTCATTCACCTCTGTGTCCCTAGGGTTCATCATATATTCGGTGGTTGTGATAGATTATTCACTGCTCTCCCTGTAGAGGATTTTACATCCCCGCAGATTGCCAAGTGGTTGCAGTGCCTCCTTGTGGGAGGTGTGTATCTCCCCACTTCAACAACCCCCAGCATATCCCTCTATCACAACACTGATCACTTGGGGTATCATTGTTTCTGTCCTTCACAGACCAGGAAATATATCTTATTTCACTGCACAGTACCTGGCATAGAATAGGTGCTCAGGAAGTCTTAATTGGATTGAAGTAAAATGAAGTAGCCAAATACTTAACATAATAAAAATTTAATCAAAACATATTTGTGCAATATTTACTCAGTGCCAGGCATATGCTAGGCACTGTGGGTACAAAGATAAACAGGACTCATTTCCTGTCCTCATGGAGCTTTTTGGAGATAGACAAGAAAACAAGTGCACCCAAGTGTGATGGGCACTGTGATTGCTGCCTATATGGAGTACATTAAGTGGGGATACAAAGAAAAGACATCTGGGCAGCCAGGAAAGGCTTCACAGAAGGTGTGAAGCTTGAGCTGTTTTAAGAACTGAGTGGGGAGTTCACTGGATGAATGAGGGTAGGGAATGGGGCACAGAAGAAAGCATTTCAAACACGAGGCATAACTGGTCCAGGGAGAGTGCTGGGTGTTTCCCTGCGGACAGATGGTTGAAGACATAAAGAGATAGCCTGAGAGCGCCCAGGTGTGGGCTTCAGCACATGTTTACTGCTCTGTGGACCACCAATGGGTGGAGCCACTTTCTGGACCCTAAGAACCTCTGTGATGGAATAAGAACAACATGACCCAAGATGATCCAACCTCCCTATTTATTATGTACCTACAGTTTGCTAATTTCTATTCCAGAACATTTTGGGGAATGGAAGTGGGAAAGAAAGAAGTATAGGACACCTCCTCCCCCAACACACACATGTACTTGTAATACACATAATACAAATACATACAACACACATAATACAAATATATACAACACACTTGTATGTTATACAGTTTACCCACCTACCAGCCCAAATATCTGTACTTCAGAAATTGTCAGAGAGTCTAACTTTAAACCTCCTACTTCTGAAAACTTACAACACCTAGGTTGTAAGAACCACTTAGAGATACTGGCTAAAAGCTAAGCAATACATCCATCCTTCTAGAGGAAGATTTCTCTAAGTCAATCTTACGTTAAACCCCAATACAAGAAAGAAAATAAAAAGCCGTTATTTTAAGCAGGTACAGGCGGGAGTCCTGCTAGGGAGCTCAAAGCCAATATTTTGACCCAACTCTTGCCCATGCCCAAGAATTTACAATATACATACTTATCTCACCCCTGGCTTCCTCTTATTTTACTCCTATCCTTGCTTTATCTGTGCTTCAATGTTCTCTTATTTAGGTTTTTTTGAAAGTACTATGATGATTTTTATAAAACACCTCAAATCTTTTGTAGAGGGAGCTGGTAAAAAAAGAGTTCATAATTTTAAGTTTTACTTATATATTCAGTGTAACAAAATATATACATATAATAAGGAATTACCTAGCACAAAGCTATATGTGCATCACACGAATATGAAACAATACACACAGAGTGCATATGTACATACATTGCAATCACAACCCCTCCAAAGTCACACTTCCGTGCAGACATGCACACACATGCATGCACACACACACACACACAAACACACACATGTTGTGTACATACCAAGCTGCTCTGCGAGGAGCCGGCCCTTTTCAGTGGGAACAACCCTTTCTTCCTCCATGTCACATTTGTTCCCCACCAAGATAACCTGTGCATTGTCCCAGGAGTAGGTCTTGATCTGAGTAGCCCTAAAGAGCAACCGAGAGAGGACCATGTTAATGAGCGCGCACACACACACACACACACCCCGCCCAGGCTGAAAAGGACTCTGTGAAGCTTGGAGAAACCAATTCCCTTCCATGGGAATAGCAACACCCAGGTTACTGTCAATTCAGCTAAGGACAGAGACAGATACCTGCCCCAGCTAGCTGTCACAGATGCTGGTCCCTGAGCCCCAGTCTTTGGAGCCCTCTTCGAATGCCCCCACTCATCCCTCTTCTCACCAGGCAGAGAGCTCTTTCTAAACCATCTATCTGACCATATCCTTTCTTAAAAGCTTTCTCTCCTCTACTACCCATGCAATGAAGTCTAGATCCCCCTATTAAGCGTTATAGACCCTTCACCTCCTGTCTCTCCCTGTGGGGAGCCTTCCCCAGGCCCAGCTAGCCTCTCCCTCCCTCCTCTGTGATTCATAAACCTTAGATCATGATTATTTGTAGAAACCAAAATGTCAGCAGTGCGTTCTTTCATGTACAATGATTATGAAACCTTTTAAAAATAGTTTTATGTACGTTTCAAATTTTGAAAGTAAGTATGTTTTACTTCTATAATTAGAAGAAAAATTTTAAAAGTGGGGATAAAATGGGACCCTTATAGTGTAGAGACATCTTTTTGTGGGGATGGGCCTAACTCTGTCCCCAACCGCCCCCATCAGGCAGAAATGATTACTTCCCCTTTTGTTCCCCTACTGTGGCTACTGTTACATTTGGCTGAATTTATCTGCCCTTCCTTTGAGGGCAGGGACAGGTTTATTCATCTTTGGGGTACCAGCCTCAGCAAAGAGCACAGAGTAGAGAAGTTGACAGTGAATGTCTGATGAATGAATAAATCAGCACATGGTTAATCCTAAAGTAGATCTAAAATTATGACCCTATCCTGACATTGACCCCCCAATCTAACTCAATCTTAACTACAACCAGGACCTATTACTGACCCTTCTCCTAAAGCTGATCCCACCACCAACCTTTTCTTTAAGGCTGAGGAGTCATTCCCTCAAAGGATGGAATTCACTCAACCACCAACTGTGTGGGCCAGCAAAGAGCTAGGTTCCATGCTGGGCCCTGCGGCTTAGATGGCAGGTGGGGGCTAGGCTGGGACCAAGTTTCTCAGAGGCAAACCTGAAAGGCCAGGGCTTGGGAGAGAGAACACGCTTCGTCTTCAGCCTCGAGGCAGTAACTGGCGCCAAGTCTCCGTGTCTCCTCATGTAACTCTTTTCCTCTCTCCTCCCACCCCATCTACCTTTAGCTCCCAGATTAGCAACTCGGGTTATTCTTGGAGGAATCATCACCAGGTGTTAAAGTCACTGTCTTCCTGAGTCAGAATGAACACGGACTGATGGAGAAAGGGAAGGAGGTCAAGGCCAACAAGGAGCGAGCAGTGTGAAGACACTTCACTTAAAGAAAGAGCCAGTCACTCCATGGGGAGAGCTGGGAGGAGGGGAGAAAAATCATGACCGAAGGGAAGAAAGGGAAAAGGGAGGAGGAAAAAAAGGGAGTAAGGAGAAAGGAAAAGAGAGAGAAGAAAGGTAGAGGGGATAACACAGACCACCAGGAACGACAGACACGCAGATGGCACCCTGGACAGCTGTTTGGAACAGGGAGGTGCAGCAAGCAGCTTGCAAGGTCACTCTCAGCTCAAGGCCGCAAGACACAAACGGTGCTTTACATAGTCATGGCAACAGTTCCTTGGAAGATGAGAAGTCCTCAAAGGGCGGCTGTTGGCAAAAGGGGGCAGGGGAAAAGCTTGGCACTGGCCAGCACGGCCGCTCTGTGCCTGGTCTGCTCGGCCTCTCTAATTCCGAAGAAGAGCCGCAGCACAGATGCTCCACCTTCCCCCAGCCTCATCCTTTCCACTGATAGGGGCCTAGTGACCTGGCCTCTCCCTCTCCCCTGTCCTTTAGCAAGAAAGATGTAAGTCGCTCAGAGGTTGTACCAACTGGGGAGCTACGCTGATTTCCACTGTGAATTGAATCTTTACGAACTTGGACTGGATGTGCTCTTGGACTCGAGCCCAGCTCAGGGGTAATGTTTACAGGAAAACAGTATATGGATCCATTCACTACTGTGGCCAGAATGATCTTTCTAAAACATTAATCTGAACCCGTTGGTTTCAAGCTTCTTACCCCAACACACAAAATCCTTCATGACCTCTGCTTTTTCTACCCTCTCACCTACCTTCTTGCCTTTGCGCATCTGTATTTTTTTCCCCTGGAACATTCTTGTCCATGTGCCCCTCTGGCTAACTCCTGTTCATCTTACAACATGCAGTATATGTGTCAACAACTCCAGGACACCTTCCCTGGCTCCCCAAGCTGGGTCAGAGCCCTCCACTGGGTTCCCACAGCCCCGGTGACTCTCTTCATCACTGCACTTGTCACATGATATTTTCACTGCCTGCTTACTGACCCGTCCTCTCCTCTCAAGGAGCCAGTCTTATTCATCCAGATTTGTCTGGGCCACAGCACAAGGCCTACTACACTTTAGCTTTTCTTGAACAGTTTGATGAATGAATGGATGCATGGATGGATGGATGGATGGATGGATGGATGGATGGATGGATGGATAGATGGATGAATGAGTGAATCTCATACCAGTCTTGGACAGCATTGAAGGACTCCTCATTGGTGATATCATACATCAGAATGAAGCCCATGGCCCCACGGTAATAGGCTGTGGTGATGGTCCGGTACCGCTCCTGCCCAGCTGTGTCCTAGGTGGGAAAGGAAAGAGTCAGCCTCCTAGAAAGTTTGCTTTTGTTCCTAAAAAGTCCTCAGAACAATAAAAGAGTAAGAGCACCTATTATGTGTCTTCATCTTATACTTGGTGACTAGAATGTTTTTTTTAAAACCTCACAGAAATTAATAAGAATAAAATTAAAATTGCAACAGAAAAATGGGCAAAAGTAATAACAATTCATAGAAGAAATGTAAATGAATATTTATCATATAAAAAGGTTTTAACCTTATTTTTAACTATAATCCCCATTATAGATAGAATATAGTGAGATGTGCAACCTCATACCTGCTCATGGGAGCGGAACTTGGTTCAACCTTTCTGGAAATCTACTTGGAGGTCTCAAGAGCATTAAAAATACCTTTGTACCTTTTGACCCAGAATTTTTTTCTCCTGAAAACTTTTCCTACAAAGTTGGAAAATCAGACAAATACCTAATCACAAAATGTTTGTTACCACTTTATTTAGACAGTGAAAAAGTATCATCAACTTATATATTCAACAATAAGAAAATGGTTAAAATATAAGAATTTTTCATATGTTTATTTTTGTAAGACTATTTAATAACATGAGAAAGTGTTTGTATTTGTGATATATCAATTTTGTAAGTATATAAGCATGGAAGAAAACTGGAAAGAAACACATCAAAACTTAATAGTTATCTCTGTATGACAGACAAGAATTACCAGGACTTTAATTTTCTTCATGTATTTTTATTTTTACAACAACAAGCATATATTACTATTATATAAGGAGAAATAAACATCTTTACTAAAAAAAAAACTTCCTAAGACAATTTTTTATCTCAAGCAGCTCAGTCTAGTTGGAAAGACAAACATGTAAGCAAGCCAACGAAAACAAGACCAAAGTCACTGGCGCACAATGGGATGCTTCACAAATGTCCCCTCAGTCCTGATGTGAGGGACCAGCCAATCTTCTCTGTTTCATTACAGTTTTAGAATGTGTGATGCTTGAGCATGTATAAAACATTTCCTCATGTATTAGCTCATTTAACTTTTATCAAACCCCTGAGAGGTAGGTATTATTAGTATTTACATATTACAGTTGAGAATGCAAAAAAGCAGACAGGGTAAGTGGCTTCCTTAAGGTCTAAAAGCTGGTGACAAAAGCTATGCCTTAAATCCAGGATTTGTGATTCCAAGCCCAATGCACATACCACTCATCCACTTCAATTAGTGAAAGATTTATCCATAAGCACTTACTGAACACCATCTATTATGATAATGGAAACAATAATCATTATAGCATGCCATTATTTGTACATACGTTGCCCCTGTTATCCACAAACTTTAGAAAAACCCTGGAGGGTATTTATATTATTACTCCATTTTACAGATGAGAAAACTGAGATTCAGAGAGATTGCCCACTAAGTATAAGAATTGGGATTCAAAACAAGTCTGTCTGGCCCTGACCAGTGTGGCTTGGTGTTTAAAGCATGAGCCCACACACCGAAGGGTTGCGGGTTCAATTCGCGGTCAAGAGCAGGTACCTGGGTTGCAGATTCGATCCCTGTCCCTGGTCAGGGCATGTGCAGGAGGCAGCCAATTGATGTGTCTCTCTCACATCTATGTTTCTCTCTCTCTCTCCCTCCCCCCTCCTCCTTTCCCTGCCTCCCTCTCTTCCACTCTCTCTAAAAAAAATCAATAGAAAAAAATATCCTCAGGTGAAGATTAACAAAAACAAGTCTGTCTGACCCCTATTACAGTATACTGCCTTGGCCATGAACCATACTTTGTGTGATATAAAAATGGAACAAGCACCATCCCTGCCCTCAGGAAGCCTCAGTAAATGTGTAGAGGTGGCTAAGACATAACATATTGAAAATTAGCAATATGTAGCAGTATGGAATCTGTACCAGATAAGTTGTATAAAGAAAATGTGTCACACTTTTTAGGTGGTTTTAGGTGGTTATGGAAGGTGTCAATGCAGAGATAGTATGTCAGTTAGGATAGCCTGGGTTATTCAGTAACAAGCAAAAATAAATCTCAGCAGCTTAAACAACAAGGTTTTTCATTATTGTTACATGTGCACTAAGGGTTGGCTGGCTTTGTGTCTCCTTATTCTAGGATAAAGACTGACAGAGCAGCTCCCAGAGGGAGAGAAAGTGTATGACTCATGTGCTGGCTCTTAAAACTTCCACTTTTCCCGTTTCACTGGCTGAAACAAGTCACATGCCCACACCCAAGAAAGTAGTGCAATCCTATAATATGCCCAGGAGGAGAATCGGGAGTGTGATAGCATAATGACTCCCACAGGTGAATCTGCCCCGAGCCCAGAAGCATTGCCTGAAGATGTAGTTATCTGTCAACAGAAGGAGGACGACAGGGACTTTTCTAAAGAATTTTCCAAGCAAAGAAGTGAAGGAAAGGTATTTTGGCAGAAAAAAAGTTTTTGCCAGTGAGTACTCTAGAAGAACTTAAGAAATAATGAGAAATAGGAAATGGGAAGGCAATGAAGCTAGAAACAGTTCTGAATGCCATGCTTTGGGGTTTGGACTTTATCTTTTAGGATCAAAGATTTTGAGGCATGAGATTAACATGGTTAGATATAAATTTTAAAAGATCACTCTGTGATCTGGAAAATGGACTGGAAGGAGAAGACACGGGAAGCAGAAAGGTCAGGTGAGACCCCATCAGAATTTGAACTAGAGTGGTAGCAATGGGGGTGGACTGGAACCAGATTCAAGAGGTATTGAAGAGGACCCTGGCCAGGTGCACCAAGAATGGCACATACAAGAACCAACCAATGAATGCATAAATAAGTGGAACAACAAATTGTTGTTTTTCTCTCTCTCTCCCTCCATCTCTTCTCTCTCTCACTAAAATCAATAATTTTATTTTTAAAAAGAGTACTTAAGAGGTGAATTATAGGGCATGGTGACAGATTAGATATGAAAAGATGAGAAATCAAAGATAACGATTATGTTTCTGGCAGGGATCAGAGAAATATATTCACTGTCTGCCATATCTACATAAAAAGCTGTGTGTGTGGACCTGAAGCATCGCAGCCGTATGGATCCACCCCTCCCATGCCCTTGCCTCTGCTTCCTGAGCACCAGAGAGCCAACACCACAGACCAGACTCCTCCCACAGGTCTGCAGGGTCAGACCTTAAGCCTTGTCTTCTAGGATTTAGAATTACAGTGGTACCTTGGTTCTTGAACGTCTCCATTGACGAACATTTTGGCTGACGAACACCGTAAACCTGGAAGTAAATGCTTCAATTTTCGAACACGCCTCGGAAGTCGAACGTGCCACACGGCTTCCTCTGAGTGCAAGATCCTGAGGCCTGGCTGTGGGCTGTTGATCCTTCGGTTTTTGAACGTTTCAGAACTCGAACAGTCTTCCGGAATGGATTACATTAGAAAACCGAGCTACCACAGTAAGCCACTCTTCCATCCAGACTGGTGATCTAGATGCCCAGGCAGGATTTCTGAGCAACTGCACTGCCACCAGGTTTCAACTCTTTTCACTTCACCTGCATTACACTGTTTCTCTGTGATAGTTTCTAGTCCCCCATCTCTGCCTGTGCCACAGCGCTTTGACAGAAGAGTCCTGTCACCAATGAATGCCCAATTAATTGATAATCCTGGTATAGAATAATAAATGAGTTTGGACATGAAATCAGTTTCATCTCTGTAGTCCCAGTGCCTGGCACAGAGCTGGGCACACAGTAGGGGTTCAAGCACCACTTGTTAAACAAAAAGGCCATATAGTTTTGATGTTAAGAGCATGGTTTCTGGAGTTAGATTTCTGGGTGTGAATCCCTATTCTACCACTTACCAACTATGATTACGGGAGGCAGTCTCTAAAGTGGCTCCCAGTGATCACCATCTCCAGATATTCATGCTCTTGTGTAATCCTCTCCTTGGGCAATTTACCTTTTGAGGTCTTAGTTTCTTTTTCTACAAAAATGGGAATAATTAATTGCCCAACCAGTGTGGCTCGGTTCGTTGAGCGTCATCTCATGGTGACCAAGAGGTCCCCAGTTTGATTCCCAGTCAGGGCACATGCCCAGGTTTCGGGCTTGATCCCCAGCAAGGGGCGTGTAGGAGGGAGCCGATCAATGACTCTCTCTTATAATTGATGTTTCTATCTCTCTCTCCCTCCCTCTCCCTTCCTCTCTTTGAAATCAATAAAGACATTTTTTTAAAAATCAATAAAAAACATTTTTTAAAAAATGGGAATAATCACAATTCCTTACTTCATAAAGTTATTGTAAAGATTAAGAAAGTTGTTATATCTAAAATACCTGGAACAGTTCCTAGTACAAAGTAAGTACCTGATGGGCATCAGTTATTATCTTTGTACTTTCAGAGTCAGCCCCAGGAGCAGGTTCCCAGGGTCTGCCCAGCTGGAGTGGATGAGTCCCATGCTATGTGTCACTTCCATCTCAATAAACCTGTCCAGGGCTGCCTCCGGCTAGAGTCTCAACATGAAGCCTCCTTCAAAGAGTAGAAAATGGCCAGCCAGAAAGGGAATGAATGAATGTAAGATTGAGCAGGTCTTGGTCTAACTCCCACTCTGCCGTTCGCCACCAATGTGATTTTGGACAGCTTGGTTTTTTCCTTTCTCTAAGATTCAGCTTCCTCACATCTGGACTGAAAATAATAATGCCAACTTTGTAGTGTGTTTGCAATGAAATAAGATGTTTTTCAAGTGTCTAGCTCATTATAGGAACTCAAACATGGGAATTTATCATTTTCACTATTATTTAATTTTTCTAAGCTTTAATTTCCTCATCTGTAAAGGGTGATAATAAGACCAACTTTGAAGTGACCATGTAAGGATTAGAGATAATGTATGGGTAGAGCCTGGCAGAGTGCCAGGCACATAATAGATTCTCAATAAAGTTCATAGTAGCTGCTGCTATTACTGTGGATATTGTTGTTACTGTTATTTCACTAAAGATAAACAAGATTGGAAACAACAATCCAGCTGTCACAGTCCTGTGCTC